GTGATGATTGGGGACTTCCAACAACTATTGAGACCGTCTACTGAGAAAATAACACAGCAAGGCATAGAATATCCAACAAGTCCTTGAAATATATTGAAAAAATTTTAATTTCAGTAGGTGCAGAAAGCTACTAGGAGGAAGGCTGTTCTAGATTTGATTTTAAAAATAGGGAGGAACTGGTTGAGAGTTTGCATGTGGAAAGCGGCTTGGGTGAAAGTGATCATGAAGGAATGGTAGGAGGGAGAACAGCAAAATAAAGACAATGGATTTGAAGAAGACAGACTGTGGCAAATTCAGGGAGTTGGTAAGTAACTCCCATGGGAAGCAAGTCTCTGAAGAAAAACAGTTGAAGACAGTTGGCAGTTTTCCAAAGAGACATTATGGTCACAAGAGCAAACTATTCCACTGCAAAAGAAAGATAGGAAGTATGGCAAGAGACCATCTTGTTTTAACCAGAATATTTTGAATAATCTAAAAATCAAAAAGAAGTCTTACAAAAATGGAAATTAGATCAAGTTACAAAGGATAAATACAAACAAATAACACAAGTACATACAGACAAAATGTGAGAGGCCAAAGCAGAAAGTGAGATCAAACTAGATAGAGACATAAAGGATAACAAGACAACATTGTGCAAATATATTAGATGCAAAAAGAAGACCAAGGGTAGGGTAGGTCCATTACTTAATGCAAAGGTTAAAAACAATAACAGAAAATGTGGACCTGGCAGAGGTGCTTAATGACTTCTTTGTTTCAGTTTTCACCAAAAAGGTCGGTGGCAATTAAATGCTTAAGGTAGTGAATGCTGCTGAAAATGAGGTAGACTCAGATGTTAAAATAGGAAAAGAACAAGTTCAAAATTACTTAGCCAAGTTAGATGTCTTGAAGTCACCTGGGCCTGATGAAACCTATCCTAGAATACTCAATTAGCTAATGACTCAGAAACCTCAATCCACTATTATTTGCGAAAAGTCACAGAAGGCGGGAGATTCCAGAATACTGGAAAAGAGCAAGTATAATGCCCATCTGTTTAAAAAAAAAAAAAAAAAGGAAATAAGGACAAACCAGGAAATGACAGACCAGTCAGATTAACTTCTGTACTAGGAAAGATAATGGAGCAAATAATTAAGGAATCCATTTGCAAACATCTGGAAGATAAGGTAACACCATGGATTTGTATAGAACAAATCATATCAAACCAACGTGATAGCTTTCTTTGATAGGAAAACCTAGTGGGTAAGAGGAAAGCAGTAGATGTGATATGCCTAGACCAGGACTACTCAACTTCGGAAGCTCCGGGGCCACGATGATACTCACAGCACATGCCGACCATTGCAACTTAAGTGTTGTTGCATATACATGCAAATATATATGCAAATAGCTTATTTCACACTGATAGGCATGAATACAAAGATTAAGCCATAAGCTGGGCACCAGACCCAGACATGGCCAGTGTGAGCCAGTCTGCATCTCTCAGGCTCTGCCCACAAGGCTAAGCAGCCAGCACTTCCCACAATGCCCCGGCACTCCTGGCACCTCCTCCCTGGGGGCTAGAAACACCGACATCCTGTACCCATCTGTTCCAGCCAGGCCTTCCACTTGAGGCCTGGGAGATGCCTCGCAGTTGTGGAGCGTGTTCCCAGTGGAGGCCATATTCAAAGGATCCCACCCGTGGGCCATATGTTCAGCCTTGCGTAAACCCAAACCGTACCATGAGCTGCAAACAAACAGGCCATGGGCCGCATGTTGAGTAACCCTGGCCAAGATTTTAGTAAAGTATTTGATAAGTCTCACATGACCTTTTATTAATAAACTAGGAAAATACAACCTAGATGGAGCTACTATAAGGTGGGAGCATAACTGGTTGCTTAACCATTTCCAGAGAGTAGTTATCAAGGGTTCACAGTCATACTAGAAGAGCATATAAAGTGGGGTCCTGCAGGGATCAGTTTGGGGACTGGTGATGTTCAATATCTCCATCAATGATTCAAATAATGCTTATAAAGTCTGTGGATGATACCAACTTGCAAGTGCTTTGTAGGATAGGATTATAATTCAGAATGATCTGGACAAACTGGAGAAATGGTCTGAAGTAAATAGGATTAAATTTAGCAAGGACAAATGCAAAGACCTCCACTAAGGAAGGCACAATCAGTTTCACGCATACAAAATGGGACATGGCTGTCAAGGAAGGAGTACTGCAGAAGGGGATATAGGAGTTGGAGTGGACCACAGGCTAACTTTGAGTCAACAGTGTGACTTTGTTGCAAAAAAAGCACACATTGTGGGATGTATTATCAGGAGTGTTCTAGGCAAGACAGGATAAGTAATTCTTCCACTCTGCGCTGATTATACCTCAACTGGGGTACTGTGTCCAGTTCCAGGCACCACATTTCAGAAAAGCTGGAGAAATTGTAGAAAGTACAGAGAACAACAACAAAAATGATTAAACATCTAGAAAACATGATCCGTGAGAAAAGATTGAAAGAACTAGGTTTGTTAATCTGGGAAAAAAGAAGAATGAGAGGGGGCCATAACAGCTTTCAGGTATCTAAACATTATAAGGAGTGAGAAAAAGTATTCTCTTTAACCTCTGATGATAGGACAAGGAGCAGTGGGCTCAAATTGCAACAAGGGGGTTTTAGGTTTGACAGGAAAAGCTTCCTAACTATCAGGATGGTTAAGCACGGGAATAAATTGCCTAAGAGGCTGTGGAATGTCCATAATTGGAGATTTTTAAGAGCAAGGTAGACAGACACCTGTCAGGGTTGGTCTAGATGGTGCTTGGTCCTGCCATGAATATAGCGGAATGGACTTGATGACTTCTTGAGGTTCCTTCTAGTTCTATGACTCTATATTAGGGAGTCCTAAATATTTTGTTGTGTGTAAGGTCAGACTTAAATGATGATAGCTCTTTTAGACCTATGTTGTGGGGTGGTGGTGGTTGTTCTTGAAAGATTAAAAACTTGCCCTTAGACATTTTAAAAGGTTAGACTGTATATGTCAGATTAAGTTAGTCCTCTGATACAATTACTGTGAAAACTAGGAAATGAGATTTCACTTATGTACAGTATGATATAGTGTTGTACAAATCATATTAAATACAGATAATATTGTCAAACCCATACTTAATTGGCATACCAAAGCAGAAGAAGAGAGGTCAGTGCTAAAGAGGTGTAATAGCTAAATGCATGTATGTGTAAGATGAGAGCCATGTGAAAGGGAAAATAAGGACATGTCCTTAACTGAGAAACATGAAAATACATCTCTCTCCTATCTCTAGCAGGAAGGATAGAGTTTGGGAGAAAATGGCTAAAACCAGCTTTTTTAATTAAAAGAAAACACCAGTTGTATGTTAGTGGTTCCATTGGAGCTGGTACATGTTTATCATTTTATTTGTTTTGATATGGAACAAATGGAGTTTGATTTTTGGCAGGCTGTTTATACCAAACACTATGACCTTTCAACAAAGCTGCACACGCAGTTTTATATCTAAAATGAAGTATTTCTGTCACTATCAGGGACAATTTAATGGCACGGTGGACACACTTTTCATGTTGCTTCTTCTTATAAAATGCAGCTCCCATTTTCCTCATACATCTTTTGAAATTTGTAGCGAGGGTTTGGATTGTATAAAATGTACTGGGTTGTGCCTTAAAGATTGGGGAGTTGCTTTCTATGAACTGCAATACTTTACTTCAGCTGACTCCATTCTAAGAAATAAATGCGTTATTTTAAACATGTTATTCCTAGTTACAAATGAAGTCTGACCTCCAGTTGCGTGTGTGAACGGAGCAGAGGGGAGCTGTTTCTAAATAATAGTATTTAGAACCCACTTACTCTGCCTCTGATTCTTACTATTTAGGGGAGAGTTTAGTACTATCTTATCAACCTGCTCTGTGGCCTAGCTTTATTTTAAATTCATCTTATTATTATTTTGCATTATCAATGGTTACCTATATCAGTTTGGAAAAGTTCTGGGGAAGAAATTGGTCATCTATGCAGGACAATCACATCCCCAGTCAGATTTCAGTTCCTTGAATTGCTTCATCCTGTGAAATAATATCCCTTCTTTTAACCAGCTTGTTTTCTTGCAAAACCTTATCTCAGATAGGCCCTGGGAAAGCAATGGCACCACCTACATCTGATAAAAGGGATTATAGAATAAATAACAGGACAATTATAGCTTTTTTAATCTAAATATGGGACAGGGCTATTCCTACTGCAGGGGTGAGGAATCTCAGGCCCAGGGGTCAGCTGTGGCCCCAGCTTGCCTGTATCAGCGTCTGAGAGTCAGAGACCCACCCCGATATTGGGGAGCCCGTGCTGGTGCTCCAGCACCCCCCTCCACTCCATTTTCTCACTGCAGGGCTGGAGCACACAAAATCTACTAGGCTGGACCCTCCTCAGGCTCTGGTGTACAATGGGAATGTAGGGACTCTTTCTACTTCTCAGTCGGCAGCCACATCAATGAGGGCTGTTTTTGTTGTTGGTTGGTTGTTTTTTGCTTCTCACTTGTGTGCAGCCCTGGCTGATTTTTTTCTGTGGGTTAGTGGCCCCTGAGCTAAAAAAGGTTCCCACTCTTGCTCTACTGTGAGGGGAGCAAAAGCCACAAGAAGATTTTAATGAAGGATATCTCCAACTGCATTCCCTGGGGCTCTGTCCTCAATCCCATGGATTTCTGGGGGATTAATATGAGGATACAACTAGCTGTCTGCTTTAGGAAAGGGAGGAACAGTACTAACACAGTGGCGGAGCAGCTGTTCTGTATATATAGTGGGTCTCTGGACTCATGATTTTTCAGCTTTTGATGGTTTAGAAAGTATGAACTGCAGACTAACCTCTATACAGCCTTCAAACATTAGGTCAATCTCCAGTGGTCTCAACATTTGTCAATATATAATATAGTAGAGCTGAATATTTTAAGTATTTTGATTGTGGAATTTTTCACTTATGATTGTAGGTTTTCAACACTTGAATTTGTATCTTTATCTTTGCAGTGATGAAGCAACTGTTATCTCAGGGACCCTGCTTGCTAAACAAGTCTATAAAGAAGTCCAGAGGGATGTAGAAGCATGGATGTCACTTGGGAACAAGAGACCTCAACTCACTGTCATTTTAGTAGGAGACAATCCAGCCAGTCATACATATGTAAGAAATAAGATGAAGGCAGCTGCTGCTGTAGGTATGTAATGAATTAGAATAAAATTCTATATATAAGCACAAGATTTTTTTTCTGCAAAATAAACAGTAATTTGGTTGCATTTTGCATCATTTTCCTTTCTCCATACTCATGATTTACATACTGTGGATAATCTTTGTTGTCATACTGCAGAAATACAGTTAAAAGACAAAGAACTATTTTCATATTCTATTAGGTATGGGTATTGTATACCTACTGCGAAGTAATTTTCTACTGTAAATGTTTTTGAATAAGGTATGTGTATGCTTTCTCTCAGATCAGAAAGTAAGGGAAATCACAGGGGAAAATGCTTATGACTTCTAAATTCTTTTGTATGGTGCTTTATGGCAATGCCCTATATTTGCTTGTTCTGGAAAGATAGAATATTAAGGGTAATCAAGTGGCAGTCACTCCAGTTTTTTGTCCTCCTCACAAGCTACCCCAGAATAATTTTTTAAAAAACTTTTAGATAGATGTTAAGAGATTGGAAAGGTAATCTGAATTAATCTTTCTCTATAATTAGTGCAACCACCAGAATCCCCAGAAACAAGTTTTGATACCCTAGAATTTGAGGAAACCCAGCTTGTGAATTGACACATCTCAAAATGAGTAGCTACATTTTGTCAGAAAATTTCATATTCTAATATCATGTTTGCCAGACTTGGTTTTAGCCACTGAAACTTGTGGAATTCTTGTTGCCACTTTTCTTCTGGATTCATAAATAAAAGCAACAATGTTGCACCTCTAAATCCAAAAAAGCAACAGCCTGAACATTAAGAATAGTGTAACTAGCTCAAACATTCTGCAGCCTAGTACCCAATGAATGGATCACACTGACTCACCACTTTTTCCCATAACTCATTTAACTCTTTTGATTAAAATTCTGGAAAACTTCTGTTTACAGTTCCATCTTGGAGGTGTTCATTCCCAGTGGGATCCACAATGCAAAAGATGCTTCAATTCTTCACATGGAAGTTCTCATTCTCATTCACTTGTGAAAGTCAGGCCACTTGGGCCATGTCTGCACTAGGGGTATGTCTACACTACCCACGAGGTGTACCGGTAGTTCAGAATAGGAAGCCTAGTCCGAACTACCTAGTTCGAGCCCCGTGTAGCCGCGCTGCACGGGGTTCAAACCAGCGGGGTTTTAAAAATGGCGGCTCCCCGCTTATGCAAAGGCTTCATTTGCAAGTGCGGTATGCCTACATTACCCCGCTAGTTCGAACTAGCGGGGTAGTGTAGACATACCCTAGGAGATTAGTCCAAATTTACTAAGTTCAACTTCTAGGCACCTGATTTAACAAATTTTGAAGTTCTTTGTCCTCACTATGCGGAAAAATTGAATGTAGTCCAAGGCAGGCTCTGTTAATGTGGATGCACTACCTCAGACTCAGAACTGTGGGAGGCCTCCCGGAGACCAATATGTTAGAATTAGCAGCACAGGAACATCCACACAAATGTTGTTTTGGACTAACAAATTTGGGAATAGCATTATTCTTCATGAAAAGCAGGACACTAGAGTTTGAATTCCATGATCCTTTATTCCGGAATAACAGGCTTGATAGAGTGAACACACATCTTATAAATCCAACCTTGGATGGCTAATTTTGGACTAAAGTCCTAGTGTAGACCAGGCCTTACTTATCCTAATTAACCTCCCTGGTCTGGCACCCCAGGAGAATCTGCTTGGACAATCCATGGTGATACTGGACCATTTATGTTGCTGGGCTACATAAATCCAGACTAGAGAGATCCAACCTGTATGATTAAATAAGAATTTTGTTGCCTAATTTAAGATGTGTCTCTTTCTGGAATCAATCCCCTTTAATAGCTTCATGTTCTATAAATAATATCATTTATAGCAATAATATCATTGGGTAGGATTAAATTGCCCAAACATCCTGAATAACTCTTCTTTCATTATTCCTTAGAGCAGGCTTAGGATTCTTGTGTAAAGAAGGTACCTATTTTCATAAGACAAAGCACGTCCTATCTTTGGTTCAAATACCCTTATAATAATAAGAAATTACATGAAAATCACAAAGAATCTCACCAAAAATCACGACTTTATCATCCTCAGGCAAAAATAAAGTACATAAAGTCATCTAGATCATCTTCATGAAAAATGAGGGAGGAAAATGATCCAGGTCTTCCCTAACAACCTTTTAAAAATAGGTTAAAATCAGTTTTTATACCCTCAGTTACAGTGTGACTGTAAAAAGTAAGATACACCTTGGCATAAAGAAAACTGTCATTCCTAGCAATATCTGTAATGCACCCAGTTGCTCAGCTACAAAGATATATTCATTTTACATGAGACATGCTGCTTCTACAGAGGCAGAATTTCACCTCCTACCTGACATCAGTGTTTTGATCACAGTCAAAATTCGGTAGCAGTGAAGAAAGGAAGAGGGCTCACCAAATGAAATTAATAGGTAGCAGGTTTAAAACAAAAGGAAGCTTTTCTTTATGCATCACAGAGTCAACCTGTGGAACTCCTTGCCAGAAGATGTCATGAAGACCAGGACTTTAACAGGGCTCAGAAAAGAACTAGATAAATTTGTGGAGGTTATGTCCATCAATTCTTATTAGCCAAAATGGGTAGGAATGGTGTCGCTAGCCTCTGTTTTTGTCAGGGGCTGGAAGTGGATGACAGGAGAGGGATCACTTGAGGATTACCTGTTCTGTTCATCCCTCTGGGGCAACTGGTATTCGCCACTGTCAGAAGACAGGATACTGGGCTAGATGGACCTTTGGTCTGATCCCGTATGGCCATCTTATGTCCTTAATAACAAGAGAAAATTAATTAATTAACAGTGCTACCTGGCTGAGTGTCCCCACTACTTTAAAGGGGGCAGACCATCTTTTACAGTCAACAGTCTCTTGTTTTCAGATTTGACTTCTTCACTCTTCTTGGAAAGGATTGTAGATTATACTGTGGGACAGGATGATCTGACGACATGATGATGATGTGGTATAAGAATATAAAATAGATAGCGAGTGGGTATTTCTTTTAGGTGTCCTTAAGAATATGTACTTTAAACTAAAATCATTATCTTGTAGTTTATTCCCAGTAACAGTGAAAAGACTGAACTTGCCTACTAATAGTCAGTTGGGGTATGTCTACACTACAGGATAAGGTTGAATTAAGATATGCAACTTCAGCTACAGTTAATTACGTAGCTGAAGTCGAAGTAGCATAACTAGACTTTTGGCACTCTCCCTTCAACTTCCCTTACTACTTGTGGAAGCAGGACTACTGTCATTGACCAGAGTGCCCCTTTCAGTTCAAATTAGCTGTCTTTACTAGACTTGCTAATTTGAATCCTGAAAGATCGACAGTGCAACTTCAATCTTCTCTGTAGGGTAGACATCCTTGGTTTTATTTATTTATAGATTAAATTGTGTTGTTCTGATGCATTAGGTTTTATATTAAATTAAAAATAAAACAAAAAATTAAACTGCTCAGGTATGTCATGTGATGTTGTAAAAATCTTTATTTCCCTCTATAATTTTATTATTTCAATTCTAAACAAAATTAGAATTCTATTCTGTTGTCTCATCGATGGACAAGAATTACTTCTAAATTATTTTTTTCTAAGATCTCACAAAAATATATTTAATAATGACAACATTGGAAGAATAAGCAGTTCTCTTGAATTAACACCATAGTCTAAATAGAAATCTGAATCACTTTGACATAGCAATGCAGTTACAATTTTAGGATGTTGTTTGATAAATTATTTGATTAGAATTTTCCAAACATTTATAAAATCTGTTTTATTGTTGCTAGACTTACTGAATTAAGACCTTTAGCTTCTTATGAATTTCTTTATAAGATTAAACTGACCTATAGTGCATACTCTTTAACGTTAAACAGATATGGTGAGATTTGCAGAAGTGCCCGTTGAAGACAGTCAATGGGAGCAGAGTTGGAAGAGTACCTCTGCTAAGCACTTTTGCAAATCTCATCCAGAATAGCTCACCTTAGAAAAAACTTGCACTACACAAATATCTTTGTTTTTGTATTAGGCATTTGTAGTGAGATAATATTGAAGCCTAAAGACATTTCTCAGGAAGAACTTTTAGATTTGACTGCCAAATTAAACCAGGATTCAAGAGTTAATGGTATATTAGTCCAGCTACCTCTTCCAGGTAAGTAATACAGTATTAATAATATGCTTTAAATTTGGACAGCTGTAAGAGGAAAAATTGTGAACAACATGTCTATACAAGCTGCACCCCATTTGTATAAAAGCACTTCAGAGAAAATTGCTTATTATAATGAGTCTCCTGTGTGATGCCTACTCCTGTTATTTAATACGGATTCCTTATTTTAGCCTATATCTCATGAACAAAACAGCTGAGGTGTCTTACCAAATGCACAAATTTCCCTGTTAATCGGATTAAGAGGATAGGTATAAGTTTATGCTCTGAAATATTGTGCACCTTTCATATTTCCTCAAAGGTGGACAGGAATTATTGATCAATTATAAAATGGGCAGACATTCTCCACTCTTTTCTGTGTGTGGGTGGAGGGTGTGTGGGAGGGAGGGAGGTTTTACTCCCTGGATAGGGAAGCTGTGACACATCTGGTTTCTATCCAGACTAATGAGTAGCTGTGTTACACCGCCCTGTAACCTGAAGTGCCCTTTTCAAATCCATGCTGCTGTAGCCACCAGCTTGGACTGCTCACAAACAGCCTCCAGCATGTAAGTCACTCCCTGCTATTTCTGAGTTTGTGCTACTGATGACCCAGCAACGCATCAGCTCTTACTAGCCTTAAAAATCCCCACAGGATGACCTCCAATGCATTCCCAGCTCCTCATTTCCCACCAGAATAGACTTTTGGGTGGGGAAGCCACTGACCCGCAGAAAAATCAGTCGGGGACCACACACAAGTTAGAAGCAAAAACCCTCACCCTCACTGATGTGGCCCCCAACTGAGAAGGAGAAAGACACTCTCCACATTGTCATTGGCAGGGGGTTGGAGCACCATCGCAGATTCCTCAATGCTGGGGGGGGGACCCTGAGCCTGGGGAGCCAGATCCAACCCCTGGGCTTTAGATTCCCCACCTCGTGTCAAAACCATCTAAAACAGCTATCCGGCCTCCTTTTGAAAACCTCCATTGAAAGATCTTCCCCATCCTACTTAGGCAGTGTCTTCCATTGCCCTACTGCTCTTAAAGTTAGGAAGTTTGATTAAATCTCAGGGGGGAAAAAACTGTTGTGTTGCAGTTAGAACCCACTGCCTCATGTCCTGCTCTCGCTGTGGCAAGAGAGAACAACTCAATCTGTTTTATGAAACTAAAGACAGGACTATGCAGCACTTTAAAGACTAACACGATGGTTTATTGGGTGATGAGCTTTCGTGGGCCAGACCCACTTTTTCAGATCAAATTGTGGAAGAAAATTGGCATGCCCATAAGCTCATCACCTAATAAACCATCTTGTTAGTCTTTAAAATGCTGCATAGTCCTGTCTTTTGTTTCAGCAAGACCAGACTAACACGGCTACATCTCTATTACTATCCATCTGTTTTATGGCAGACTCTCAAATATTTGAAGACGTCTGTCACGTGCCACCTTAATCTCCCTTTTTCCAAACTAGACATAGCCATTTCCTTCAGCCTTTGTTCATATTGTATAGCTTGTATTCCATCCCTTTGATCATCTTTGATCCATCTTCGAGAAAAATTGTTCTTAACCACTGAGGGTAGGACAAGAAGCAATGGGCTTAAATTGCAACAATGAGGTTTAGGGTGGACATTAGGGAAAGCTTCTTAACTATCAGGATGGTTACGCACTGGAATAAATTGCCTAGGGAGGTTGTGGAATCTCCATTGTCAGAGACTTTTAAGAGCAGGTTAGATAATATCTGGATGGTGCTTGGTCCTGCCATGAGGGCAGGGGACTGGACTTGATGACCTCTTGAAATCCCTTCAAGTTCTAGTATTCTTCGGTTCTATGCAATACAAATAATAATACAGCAAAGAACTGTGAGTTAAGTTTCCACCTTTGACATGAATCTTGCTTTATACTTCAAAAAGGATTTGGGTGTGTAATATGTGTACATTGTCTTGAGATTTGTGACTAGAAAGTGTTTTTTTAAGTGCAAAACTTTATAAATGTCAGCAGTTTTCAGTCAGTTAAAGGAATTTGCCACATGAGGGTAGTGTAACATAAGTCAGGAGGATAATGTGTAATATACTGAATAATGATTGGCTGTGGGAATAGATTGGCATGTGCTATACAATTGTTATTTTTGTCTAAAAAGCAGCAGCTGAGATATTCACAGATTCAAGGATGGAGCTGAGGGTTGTTTGTTAAATATTTCCTGTGAATTCAGAACTGGTGAAAGGTGCCACATCAAAGTCTGGGGTTGGAGCCTTCTATATGTACTCAGAATAGTTACAGCTTCTATAGTGGCTTTGCAGATTTCCCTTTCTCTTGAAGAACCCTATCACAGACCTCTGCACTGATCTGAGGGGACTACCACTTAAGCTCTCTAGTGAAGAGAGCCTACAGAGGCACAGATGAAAGGATGCAGCTGCACCACTGTGGGATAGCAGTTCTATGCCATTGTCAGATGAAATTAAACCATCCTCCACCAAACAGCACTGTCCACACCAATATTTGTGTCAGTATAGTTTATATCACTCAGGGAGGTGTGAGGGTTTTTTCCTCACACTTCTGAGTGACACAAATTCTGCCAATATAAGTGGTACTGTAGACATAGCCTAAGAGAGCAAGAGTAAGTCACTCTCTTTTCCATTTGGGTCTTGGCCACTCTGTTTATGCTGTCATCCAGTTTGTTATTTGATAACATTTATGGTGATGGTTTCTGAGATCAGTCCAAATCTGGACTGAGACCACTATTTTATTTTCACACAGACCAGAACAGCTGTATTTCAACAACAGATTTAACTCGCTAGGTATCTGAGCTTGTCTATATTATAAAAGTGGCAATAGTTTAACTAAATCTATTTGAAATAGATCTGTTAAACTACTGATCACTGTATAAAGGGGTTAGGAAGGAATTTTCCTCCAGATTAGATTGGCAGTGTGCTTATGATGAATAATACCTAACTTGTGATCAGACACTGTTGAACAGAATAAAATACATGTGACTTTTCTTAAAAATAAAATAATTGGGCCGAGAGCAACTTTTGTGACTGGCTGCTGAGAAGAAATATAACTTTCAAATAACAATTTTCCAGATCATATAGATGAACGAACAGTCTGCAATATTGTTGCACCTGAAAAAGACGTAGATGGATTCCATATTATCAATATTGGACGACTATGTCTTGATCAGCCTTCTGTAATACCTGCCACTGCTGCTGCTGTTTGGGAAATTATCAAAAGAACAGGTAGGAAACTGAATGTCTATCAAAATGCTCCGAGAAATCATTCAGGGGCCGCAAACAAGTGAGAAGCCAAAACAAAACAAAAACCCTCATTAAAGTGGCCCCTGACTGAGAAGCAGAAAGATACTCCCCATATTCCCTTTGCACACCAGAGCCTAGGGGGGCCCAGGCTAGTAGATCTTGTGTGCTCCAGCCCCGCAGTGGGCAACAGGGGGTGGAGTGCCAGCGCAGGGTCCCCAATGCTGGGGGATCCCTGAGCCTCAGGGGCCGGATCCAGGCAAGCCGGCAACCGCATCTAGCCCCGGGCCGGAGGTTCCCTACCCCCGATTTAAATAAACTATTTTAATTATGATTTGTTTTTATTTTTAGCTATATCCTAAGGAAAGGCTGGTTGGTAACTTGTATAACAAGTTGAACTGCAACTAAATATAGCCTATCACTAACTTCTGTGCTTCTTTTTGCTAACCTGGAGGAGGTTCAATATACATTTATTTAAGCAATTTTTTTTAGTTTTAATACCTATTTATTGAGATTTTTTTTTTTGTATATTGTATTATATTAGAAAATAATGGTTTATGCCTTTCTTATTTATTACACGATGATTGATATATTACTTGTGATTTGTGCCAAATTCTATTTTATTAAGAAATTCAGATTACATTCAAAATGAAGAAAAACAGAAAATTGATTTTTTTTAAATATAAAGCTACCTTAAATATGTTGACTGAATAAGAAAAAAGTTTTAAATGTAAAATGAAATTATTCAAAATGTAATTGAAATAAAGTAAATCTTGTCTGTAACTAGTGACTTGAACGGATAGCTTCTGGTCACCATGTGCTTCTAGATTTTAGAACTACAAGATACCATGTACTTTATTCATAGATCAGAAGCGGAAAAAGGAGCTTTCCTTTTTTTTCAACTCCCAATTGATGTCTTAACTTTCAGTGAACTAGTCATTGAATTTCACTAGTTGAATAAATTGAAATGAAAGAAGTTTTTTCTCTGCACTGCTGAAGAGCCTACTGTTGTTCAAAGTGTATTTGATACTTCAAACCTTGGCAGCAAACATGTACCACTTCATTTTTTTTTTTTTGTTACTGTAGTAGATTGAGCAAAGGATTAAAAGAATATTTAAAGAATGCAAAGATGAATGGAACAGTAGTTTGCAGCTAGAATAAGATATTTAAAGCCTGTAGATGAACAATGAATTGATCACAGAGAAAATAATCAAACAATTCACTTATCGTTAATGATATAATTTTATGATCACCAATATATTTTGCATATGTTTATGATATCATAAGCAAATACCTGTGCTAGAAATTGTCTGAATCTCATTTTTCAGTAATGGAAGATAATTTAAGTAATAACTTAGATTAGCTCTACAGAACAATATAAAATCGAGGGCAAAAACTATTATGAATACTCCTATTTTAGTGTTAAAATATGTAAGAACAATGTAGATCAACTATGTATGCATTAAATTTAACTTTGAGAGGAAATTTCAGTAGGTGATAAAATTGTTCCTTTGCTGTTTCAGGTGGCTGACATGTGAAGTACAAAAGGTGTAGGGTTTTTAGGTTTTATAGATTAGATTAATTATTTTTTATTTTGTTTTTCCTTGTAAGGAATACAAACATTTGGAAAAAACGTTGTGGTAGCTGGAAGATCTAAGAACGTAGGAATGCCTATTTCAATGCTTTTACATACAGATGGAGAACATGAAAGGCCTGGAGGTAAGTCCAATGGTATTATGATTTCCTTTAATAACCTGATCCATGAAAATGACCAAAATGAGGGAGAGGCAAAGGGAAGGGAGGCAGAAAAAAAAAGAGTTCATTTTATTTGTACTCCTATTTTCCTGTCTCTCTAATATGTTTGGGTTAATAATGTTTCCTTCCTGCTTCCATGAAAAAGTCATCATGCTCATCATCTCATGAAAATGTTCTTGCAAAATCTCGAGCTTAATTGTTTAAACTCAAGAGGTTCAGATTGTTTGGATAGAATTTGAACTTTTGGATACTTATCCAGATTCAGCCTGAACTCTGCACTTTTGAGGTTCACCAATCCCTACTTAAAATAAACATGTTGGATTTGGTCAGGGAGCTGTTGTCATTTTTCGAACATATCCTAACCATCTTGTTAATGTGTAGTTCCTAAGTGTACATTGTTTAGGTGATAACTAAGAATCTGTACTCTCCAACAGCTCTATTCCACACAAACACAGAAGCAGCCTCCTAATCTGACAAGCACTGCTGAAGCAGTTAGTAATAGAAATGTAGCCGTGTTAGTCTGGTGTAGCTGAAGCAAAACGCAGGAATGTGATTTGTCCTTTTCGTATGTGTTCATTTTTTTTAATTGTATCCTTTGGTATATATGGTTGTGACTATTTTCTTCCACTATTTGATCTGAGGAAGTGGGTCTGGCCCACGAAAGCTCATCATCTAATAAACCATCTTGTTAGTCTTTAAAGTGCTACATAGTCCTGCATTTTGCTGAAGCAGTTAGACAGTGGTTAGACAGTGGTCTCTAACAATCTGTTGAGGAAGGGGTTGATTAAAACTCAATTAAATTTTCAATAAGAAATTAACCATAGAAACTTTAAAAATGGTATGTTATGTGTGACAGAGATCCCCTTGAGACTATCATTTGATGTGCTGAAATACCAACTTGTCCTGTTGAACCAGGCTCTCAGGCCCCTGGCAGCGCTGGCACAGATATGGGGTCACAGCCCACAGCAGGGTTATATGGACACCGAGGCCACATCTAGACTTGTGGGAAGATCAATGCTGTGGGCATCCCTATTGGCATAATAAAGACCCTCGCTAAATTGAACACTAAGCATGCCCCGATCAGTGCTGGTACTCCTCGATGTCCCGAGGAGCAAGGGAAGTCAATAGGAGCATTTTTCGCTTCGACCTCCCGTTGTGGGAATGGCACTGAATTTTGGTTTAAGATGCATCAACTACAGCTATGTTATTTACATAGCTGGAATTATGTACCTTAAGCCAACTTTTCCCTATATTATAGACCTGGCCTCAGATCAGATCAGCTCTACAAAGGCTCCATCAAAGAGACTTGCCATAGCACCCAGGTGCTTAGCCCTAATGGGACCAGGGCCCCAGGTAAATCTGTCTGTCTTGTATACAGTTTTATACAGAGCAAGCTTATATTGTCTGCCCTCTTTCTTACATAAAGAGAGAGAGAGAGAGAAACAGCTGCTCGCCCTCTCCCCCAAGTAACGATTACTTATGCTGGGTTTATTAATAAACAAAAGTGATTTTCATTAAGTGTCAGAAGTAGGATTTGAGTAGTTGCAAATAATAGCATGCAAAGTAAGTTAATAAGCAAAACAACACACACCAGCCTAAGCCTAATACTCTAGGAAATTTGTTACTTTGCAATATCTTACCCTAACAATAGTCCTAATAGCTTCAGGGGTAGCCTAGTTAGTCTGCTACAGAAAAAGACAACAAATGGTCTGGTAGTGCTTTAAAGACTAACAAAACAAGTAGATGATATCATGAGTTTTCGTGGGCGCAGCCCACTTCTTTAGATGACCGGAGTTATGAGTTTGGGATGTGAACACTCAAAATAAATAGGAGAGG